TCTCCCCCCCCCCCCCCGCCTTATTAATAACCAGGAGGGGTTACAGAGCTGTCCTGAATGACAGGAAGGCGCACAGACCCTGGAGCAAAGACAGCTGTTTCAAGGGCAGTGCCTTGTGGTGGGAGGAGTGCCTGTGGCTGGTATGTGCCTCAGCACCAGCAGAGCCCCATCAAGGAGAGGGCCTCAGTGGGACCCACTGTCGACTAATCCATTCCCTGCAGGAGGTGTCGCACACAGAGGGCACCTGGGCTTCGAAGTCAGGCCTGACTCGAATCCTGGCTCTACCCACTTCACTCGTAGCTATGACTCCGGGCACTTGCTTCTCTGAGCCTCCATTTCCTTATCCATAAAACAAACAAAACAAAGGGCCAGCAGATGGTGTGGAGGTTACGGCACTGGACCAGCTGCACGGTTCAACCCCCAGACCCGGTGGCTTGAAAATCATGCCAGGCATGTGTGTGTGTGCATGCCCAAAATCCTGAGAGGAGATTGGAGGAGAAGGGATTGTGGTGGCCATCCTCCCTAGGGGGTTATTTCTCACATTTTCTCTCTCTGTGGCAAGCGTATTACAAAACAAACAAACAATATTAAAGAAACCCCCAAAATAGAACCAGATCAAAAATGAGACATTACCAACCATCTCAGAGGACTGCTGAGAAGACCAAAGGTGACCGGTGCCAGGCACGTCACCCGCAGCCTTGTTGTAACCTGGTACAGAGCCTGTCCACAGCAGGTGAGTGCCTCTCATAGGACCAGAGGAAGAGGTGTGGTCAGAGGAATTAGAGTCCTGGGGCTTTTCTGGCCAAGGACTTGAAGAGCTAAGCTGCTATAAAGCACAGGAATTGCAAAGGATTTTCACAAACTATCCCAGGCCAAAAACATATTTGGGGAAATTCATGGCAAGAGAAGTCAGTGGCAGCAGCAGCCAGGCTTGCCCTTCCGTGATGACAGAGCGATGAGGCGGGCGTTTCGATCACCGTGCCTCTCCGCAGCCCTAACCCAAGCCAGACACCGTGCCCAGCGACTCAAAGCTGTGTCTAGGTTAATTAAGCCTACATCTTCATGGTCCTCCAGGAGATGGGCCGGGGATGGGCATCATTAACCAGTTTTCAGATGGGGGACAGGGCTCTGGGCTGTCATTGGGCTGCACAGCACAGCCCAGAAGGCCCCCAGTGCCAGCACTCCAGCATCACTGCCATCCTAGCTCCACGGTAGGTTTTTGCCAAAAGGGAAACTATCTCCCCTTAGCCACCCATCCCTAGCTTTCTGCAAATACAACAGATTAAACTCAGGTTCTTCCCTCCCACCACCAAGACCAATCATCATTTAATTAGAAGGGAGAGAACGACTCAAACGGATGACCTGAACGAAATCAAGTTGGTCAGATGTGAATCATGTTTCGCCTGCCCAAGCTGATTCATATCTACCGAGCTGTACTTTTCCAATGGACAGCGCCTGGCAGCCATTCTTCCCTGTGCACAGAGAACGTGGAGAGGAAGAGGAGAGCGAGAGGAAGAAGGAGAGGGCACTTGGCCTTGTAGGAGGCAGTAGAGGGCTACCTCCCTCCCTGGACAAAGATCCCCAACACCAGGCTCCATGGTCTAGTGCCTAAAGAACCTGTAAAATTGTTCATTTCATAATAAACCTAGCTCATCCTCACACTAGCAGAGCAAGGCTAGTCAAAGGCAGTGACAGTTACAAGGGGAGCTAGGGAAACAGAAAGGAAGTAATTTCCTTTACTCCACAGACGTTCGTGGGAACTTACTATGTGTCCTGCACAGTACTCAGCGCTGGGCCAGCCTGTGGCCTAGTGGCTAAGGGTACAGATCTCACATGGTTGGCTACCCACTCCCAGTTCAAATCCCAGCCTCAGCAGCTAGGAAAAAAAAACATACTGGGTGCATGCCCCAAATCCAGACAAGACAGAAATGAAGGGATTGTGGCATGACTATGCCCCATAGGGGGTTGGGGGCAGGTGCTCTCTCCCACTCCCTGTGTCTCTGGTGAGCACACATGCCCTTTAGCAATAATAATAAAGAAAAGGAAGAAGAAGACATACGGTCCCTGCTCCTACAGAGCTTAGTGGGAAGGAAGCAAGGCCCAGAGAAGTAGACAACGCATCCAAGACCAGCACAGCATGTAGCAAAGATCCGCTTTGAGGCCGGGGCCCATACTGCCTTCACGTTTCTCAGAGGGAGGTGAGGAGAGTGCCACGTTAACCAAGCACAGAACCCTTAACTGCAGTTTCCTGTTTCCCTAGGGTTCTTAATGACTCTGCGAGAGAAGAGATTCTGAAATTAAGGGGACATTTTCGTGAGAGAAGAGGGGCTGGAGGGAGAGATGAAGGCAGGCAGAAGTGACAAGAAGATCTGGAACTACACTGGAAGTGCAGTCTGGGCTTGATCCCACCTCCACTCCTGTCCTCTCCTCCCTCACAGTGTAGTCAGAGCCCAAGACTGAGGAGTCCTGGGGCTCTCGGCAGCCCCCACACCTCACCATCTTGCAACCTAGGCCCTACTGGCCACCCAGTAAAATTTGCTGTAACATTTCCGAGAAGTAAAATGCTTCCGTTTGGGCTATTCGTAGGCATTGATGTAAGGAGGAAATAGGGAAAGTCAACACCTTCTGAAAGAGTCCCGCTCCTCCAGTTTTTGTAAATGTAAAAAGGTTAACAGCTCAAGGACCTGGACTAGGAACCTACTCTCTCTACTCTTTGTCCCCGAAAGCCCTGGCCCCTCTGCTGTGCCTCCCCTACTGATGAAGCCCTGACCCCTTCCCCCTTCCCGGGTGGCTGTGGGATTTTCCACTGCTGAGCACTGCAGGACAGTCAGAACACTGGCCTAGTTAGTCCTCTGCAGACGCGTGCGGGGCCTTCTCACCTCGGCTGGCCCCCGCGCCTGCTGGGCAGACTGTTTATTCAGACGTGTGTGCACCTACCACGTTCCCCCAACCCTGTGTTCCCTGCGGCAGGCTTTGGCCCAGAGGACCCTTCTCACTCTGTGCCGATAGAATGCCTCCTCCACTGTTCTGTGGGCCAGATAAGCACTGCCCGGTGAGACCTTTCCTCTGACGTCCGCCTCACTTCTGCAGGTTTTCCTGTATTCTCCCTGCTCTCTGTTGGGGGAAGTGTCCTCTCTATCCTGTCCATCTCCTCTCTTTGCTGCCCCTGTCAGCCCCCTGGGGGGTGCATGCCCCAATAGCCGGTCCTCTTCACTGCATCCTTAGTACCCATGAAAGAAGAGACATTCTTCCTCTACCTCCACCCTGTGTATTCTCATCCTGCCTCATCTAGGGCAGTACTTCTCAGTTTCTTTATTTTTTTGTTTTATTTTGTATTTGTTTCTCAAAGTTTAAGGTGCACATGAATCACCTGGTAGTAAAATGCAGATTCTAGCCCAGATGTGGTTTTGTCTTTAAAAATAACCAAATAGGAGCCAGCAGGTAGCATGGTAGTTAAGGCGCATGGGAGATCGCAGTTCGAGTCCTGCACCCAGTGGCTTGAAAATCATGCTGGGCACATGTGTGTACATACCCAAAATCTCAGGAGGAGAATGGAGGAGAAGGGATTGCAGCATGGCCATTCCCCTGGGGAGTGATTTCTCGCTTTCCCTCTCACTGTCTCTCTGTGTCTCTCTCAGGAGAATACACACACCTTATGACAAAAACCTTAAAAAAATAAAAATGAAGATAGCTAGATAGATTCTGATTCAGTAGGCGTAGGTAAAGACCTGAGATGTTGCATGAAGCCTCCAGGTGAAGGGGCCAGGCAGTGGTGTAGCAGTAGCACAAATGGACCCGCATGGGGAAGGTCCTGGGTTCACATCCTAGCACTCCCTGAGCACACCAGCTGAGCACACGTGCCTGTGATCCGGGCTGGCTAAGACTGGGTGCCTTAACCACCATGCCACCTGTTGGCCCATAAACTTTTAAAAATATTAAAAACAGAGGACGAGCAGATGGCGTAATGGTTATGTCGCTGGACTCCCATGTAAGTTGACTGCAGTTCGAGTCCCAGACTTGGCAGCTTAAAATTCACACAGGGCGTGTGTTCATGCATGCCCAAGAGCCCATAAAGGAGAAGGGATTGTGGTGTGGCCATCCCTCCTGGGGGGTGATTTCTTTCTGTCTCTCTGTTTCTGTCTCTCTGGTGAGCACATGCACCCTATAGCAAAAATCTCTCTGAAAATAAATCAATACTAAAAACAAAAAAAATCTCTTCCGGGTGAAGCTGATGCTACTAGTTTATGGATCAGACCTGTGAATGGCAAGCTTCTAGGACAGTAATTCTCAGAGTGTGTCCACAGATCTGTGGCATCGGAGTCACCAGGGACTCGAACCGGGGTCAGCCGTGTGGGAGTCCAGCACCATAATCATCATGCCATCTGCCGGCCCTGTGGGTAATTTTTAGATGGAAGAAAGTTTGACAGCTGTAATGCAGTGAAAGAGACATCCACTGACTGGCGTCAGAAAGACCTGGGCCTGTATCCTGGTTTGAGCACCTGCTGTGTGACTGGCCAAGTCATTCGTCTCCCGGCTT